TTATCCAGGTTATACAGACGATCCAACGGTTCCAAAACACAGTCTCACTCCAACATTTGCTGCAGCGGCTATGTTCATCAACAATGCCAGATGGGACGGTGTCCCTTTTCTAATGAAAGCTGGTAAAGCTCTCCATACCAGAGGAGCAGAGATCAGAGTTCAGTTCAGACATGTCCCTGGAAACCTGTACAAGAAAAATTTTGCTACTGATTTAGACAAAGCAACTAATGAGCTAGTAATCAGAGTTCAGCCTGATGAAGGCATATACCTGAGGATCAACAACAAAGTCCCTGGTCTTGGAATGAGACTTGATCGCAGCGACCTTAACCTTCTATATCGATCCAGGTATAACAAATCATACTTTCTGATTCTTGCTTTCATATCAGGATTACTTAATTTTACGTTTTCTTCTGTTTTTGTGTTGAAAAGGTATCCAAGAGAGATACCAGATGCATATGAAAGGTTGCTTCTTGATGCAATCGAAGGAGAGAGGAGGTTGTTTATCAGAAGTGATGAGCTAGATGCAGCATGGGATCTATTCACACCGGCTTTGAAGGAACTCGAGCAGAAAAAAATCGTCCCTGAGCTCTATCCATACGGGAGCAGAGGTCCGGTTGGTGCGCATTACCTTGCATCTAAGTACAATGTGAGGTGGGGAGATCTTGAAGATGTTTAAGCTTTTGACAGAAACAAAGATTTGGTGATGTGAAAGATTTGGTGTTAATATGAGACGAGCTAACTAGTCTATATGTATTGAGCCTTTACAACTATTGTCAAATTCATTGCATAGATTGGTTCTCAATTTTCTGCCAAAAAACTATGTGTGATTTGTTTCTTTCCAACAAATACATAGATTTTTGTTCAAGAATCAATGGCTAAATGTTTAGGATTGTTATGTTGATAAATTGATAAATTGATGTAAGATTGGAATCCATCAAACATAGGATCACAAGATGATCAGAGATTCCAAGCATAGAGATGGAAATGGGGATTTTGTGACTGAATCCACAATCCCACACAATAAGAGAGCTTGATTCCACAAGCAATCTGATCTGCAAGTCTATAGAAAACAAGTGATTCCACACTTAAATTCTAAAGACAAGAACAAAAGAGACAAGGATTCCACCAAGACTCTAATGAACAAAGACACAAAGACAAACATTGTAAATTGAATAATACTTTATTAATTTGGAAGAAGGGTGAATACAAGTGAAAACAAAGCTTAGCTTATATAGGCTCTCTGTACAACGTCTCTAAGGTCTAGAACAAGAAAACACATCACAAAACTAGCCGTTGAAGCCATTAAGAAGAAATCTGCACAAGAAAGGAAACTTGAGGTGTGCTTGAGTTTTGAGAGCTTGGGTGAGAATCCCTGGCTTCTGGGGATGTCCAGGTACATTGAATCAGTTCCAAAGTCGCAGCAGCAGCAAGGATATAGCCATTGGAGAGAGTTAAGACCCTAAGTGTAAACATGTTGAATGCACTTGCGTCTAAATAAGGAAAGTCAGTCCATGTGCATCTCCAATTGATCTTATGCGTTTTGGTAGAACTACAGACGTCTTGGAGAGTCTCTAAATGTCCAATAATGTCTCCAGGTCGCCAAATATATGATTGAAGTTTATCAATCCCGAAATTTCATTGGTTTTTTTTTGGTAACGCCAAATGTTGCAGTAGAAGATAGATGTGTAACATCCCAATCTATATAGATGA